ATATTTACCTGAAAAATAAAAAAACACAGGTAGATGCACTTACCTACGTAAAAAATACTTACCCAGGTAAGTGCATTTATCTGGATAAATAACTTACCGCCTAGATCTCATGCTTTTGGAAGCACGGATTGATGACGATCCAATGTTTGGAGTTATGAGCTACGCTGCTGCTGCATCCCTCCACCAATTCCATGCATGAAATTTTTAGGTGGAAACATCGATAGTGGAACAGAGGTGCCAACATTCTGAATAGTTAGAGGCAGCATTGAAGCTGCTCCACTTCTACCACAACCATATTTTGTGACTTATTATTCGAGGTGTTATGACATGATCAGTAAATGGAGAATTTGGACAAGGTGGGTAATGTTGAACTCCAAACCAGTGTTTTCAAGACCCAATCATACCAGGAATTATATAAAGATACATCACAAACTGATTACATATGATTTATATGGCTAAATTTATAATGTATTCATTGCATTGTGTACAAAAAATATAATTGATTGAATGTGATGGTAAATATAATTGATTGCATTGTGATGGTAAATACATTAAATGAAACTTGAACCAATGAAAATTACGCATACTTTAGTTGAGATTTGGATGTAACATGCAGCCAAGATCAACGAATACACCATAGTTTAAGTTGATTTGTATTTGATTCATTTTGAATTGATAGTTTTTACGGAAAAGTATGGACAGGCCCAATGCAGATTTCTGAATTCCACTGCAGACCTATAAACATTCAAAATGTCAAAAAACCCTACTCTATACACCAATGTCCACCCGTGAATTGGCATCAATTCCGAGCTGGTACCTACCCCAATTGTACTTTGGGAATTTCCTCAAAAAACGGTGCCACGTGCCTAGCCCTTCCTTATGTTCTAGTCTTGCTTGTTGATTAAGTAAACCTAGTTTGTTTCTAGAAGCCTAGATAGATCTCAAACTGAATTGTGTTTGAAACTAAGGAGAGGGGTGCCTAACCCCTTCCCTCCCTTTATTCAAAGAATTCTTGAATTTCTGTTTCTAGGCTGGTGAAAGAGTGGAGTTCCTATTTGTCTAAAAATCTAAATCGTTTAACTAGAAAAGAGGACCTGTTTCCTCTTAAACAAAAATGGGTGGCAATTCTATTGGGCTGGCCATGAGCTTTTTAGAGCTCACACCAATCAATAACTTTTTTAAACAAAAGAAATAAATTCTTTGCACTCTTGACTGTTTCAAAATCATCTACAGATTTCACAAATGCAGTTCCTATAGGACAATACACTAAAAAATTAATCAATGTCTGGCTACATGTATTTGTTTAACCATCAACCATTATTGTACAACCATATGTAGCACAAACCCTACGGAGTTCATCAATTGACATTTGAACCTCCTTAACTAAATCCTTCAACAAATTGGTCCTGCAATTATGATATGAAGGAGATTTGTACCTTGAACTAATAGTAGTAAGTGCATCCAACATAGGCTAAAAATATCTTGAACGCAAAGTATTCAAGGGAATACAAGCATCACACAACCACTTCATAACAACACGATCCACATGACTAATTGCTACATTAAATGCCAATACACTCTTAATACTAGGTTGTGCACCTGGAGTGGTCCATGGAGCAAAATGGTTATTTATTAGCCCTAAAGATGCTTTCCCCTTTCCCGATGTTGTAGTTGGTTTTTTCCCTTGATAAGTATCATGTGTACAAGGTGGATCAATTTCCCTAATCTCAACATCATCATCATCATCATCATCATTCTTTCCACACCATGTTCTAGTATCATCAACAAAATTCATAGGCTGTTTTTCACTTCTTTTTCACTTCATTGATTTCATTCAGCAATTGCTTCATTTTGTATTTTATATCATAGGGTACTTTACAACAAATTGCAATATCACGTTTCCTTTGGGCGAGATGTTTCATCCTATTAATCCCTTCCCCTTTAAAAGTCTTTTGACAATAAAGACATGTCCATTAAGAGGGTAAACTTTAAGGCAACCATGCTCCCAAGCAAAATCAGTTTTTACTCTAGCATTTGATGAAATTGACTCTTATGATGGAGTTGGATCAGATGTATTAGTATTTGGACTTTGGGATTCCACCATCTTAATTCAACAAAAAAAAACCCAACTCAAATACAATTCCCTTTATACAAATATAAAATATAAAATTTAGATTTTAGAATAACGCATTCATTTACTAAAAGAACCAATCAAAATATAAAATCACTCTATACAAGCACATTCATTTACATAAAATATATGCAATGTAATCTTGCTTAATAAATCCATGCATGAACCAAGAAGCAAAAATTAATAATGCAAAAATCAAGAACCAAGAAGCAATTAATTTAAGCAAATAAGCATCATTTGATTAATTAATTGAAAATTAAAAAAGGGATTTTATCATTCTTTAACATCATCATCATCATTCTTTAACATAGCAAATAAGCAAGGAATTAAAAAAAAAAATAATTAAGCAAATGTGAGTATGTGACTCTCCGTAACTAATTAAGCAAAAAATTCAGCAAAAAAAATAATTAAGATTAATTAAGCAAAAAATTCAAAGAATCAATTAAACTGTCGGTGTTAAACTCTTGTAAGCATTTTATACCTTAATGGTTTCACTACCAGTAATGGTGGTGTGACGGTGTTAAGCTCACAAAAATCGCCACCAATGGACTCTAGTTTGGCCGCCGGTGATTGCTGCTACAACTCTGATTGAGGAGCAAATTACCAGTTCCAAGTGCCAAGTGCCAACTACTACTGCCGTAGTATGTTAGAAACCCCCAGCCGCCACTGCAAAATTGCCTAGGGGTGAGCAAAAAACCGAAAAACCGAACCAAAAATTCAATTAACCAAACCGATCAGTTTGGTTTTGGTTCAATATTTAAAAAAAAAAAACCAAAGGTACCGATTCAATGTTGGTTAACCAAAATAGAAAACCGGCGGTTAATCGAACCAACCAGTATACATATATTTATATATTGTATGTATATTTATATTATATATGTATTATATTTTCTATACATTATAAATTAATAAATATGCATTATATATAAATATATATTTATAATATATAATATATTATTTATTATTTAAAATATAATATTATATATATTTCTAGTATTTTATTATATATTTATATACTTTTCTATAATAAATATTGTAAATAATAAAAAACTGAACCGATAGTTAACTGAACTAGTCAATCGGTTAACCGATCGACTTCGGTTACCAGTTTTCCAAACTGAACCGATCGACTTCAGTTAACCAAACCAAACCGGTTAACCCCCGTTTGGTTTCAAAAATTAGCCCAACCGAACCGTGAATACCCCTAAAATTGTCGGTCGTTGCTGCAAAATCGCCGGCTGCCGCTACAAGTCCTTGACAAATAGAGGTTGTTGCTAGTTACAAAATGCAAACTGTCGTAGATGAAGCTCACCGCCATTGTCGGTCACCGTGAATCGCCGTAGGTCACCATAGGTCATGTCTGCCACAGGTCGTCGGTCGAGGTATGAGGGTTGAGAAGAGGGAAGGATTAAAACAAAAATGAATGATTTTCGTTCTAACCCTAGGCCTAATTTGTAAGAGTTGGTAATCGGGGATATAGGGGGTCTTTTTTTTGTTTTTATTATTTTTTTAAAACGAAAATGAAATTCGTAACCCACGAACAATTGCCCGAGTCAAACAGTTTAGCAGTTCGACCGCCCGGGTCAATGGTTTTGTTACCTTTTCAACGATCTTTTAGGATTTAGTGGTTTACATTATAATTGGACCTAGGGGTGTAAACGGATCGAATTCGAATCGGATCAGGCAATATCCAAATTCAAATTTGATTAGAAAATTCAATATCCGAATTCGATTCGATTCGAATTCGGTTAATTAATTATTTTAGATAATTAAAAATATATAAAATAAATATTTTATTGATGTAAAGTATATAAATATTAAAATTATTTATATAACTTAATTATTATATATATTATATAAAATATTTTATATATTATATAGAAGAATTAAATAATCGGTCGAATTCGGATATTTATCGAATTGAATCAGGTCATATCCGAATTCGAATCCGATTAACTATTCGGTAAGAATAGGATATTCGAATTCGACCGATTAAATATTCGAATTATCTGAATTCAATTCGATTATATCGAATATCGAATTCGAAATCAGATTTTCGAATACCGTTGACACCCCTAATTGGACCCAGGGGCTGAACGGTTACCGGTTTTCCCGTCTCACCATCCGGTCCGGTCCAATTTTGAAAACCATGAAAAAATTCAATGAACAGTTGACACCAAGCAGATAAGTTTTGCATGCATTCATTATTGTGATTATTTGTAAAACCACATTTGCATGTGAAATCTACAAACCACAAAAATGCAAAATTTAAAACAAGCTGTTTTCTTTAATAATTAATGCATTAAAAGCCTTAAAAGTGTTCATGTTTTGTCCTTTGCCCCAGGCATTTGTCAATACTCTCAATAAGGGATTTAGTGCTCTCTCAGTCACTCTAAATAGCGTTTGGGTAATACGTAGAAGCAATGAATTCAGAATAAACTTTGATCAGCTTATGGCTATTTTCTTTGCTTGGGAGGGAGGGAATCAGTAATCAGTGTGGGGATGGGTCTTGTATTTTACGAAAAAAGAAGAGCTCCATTTCTTCTCTCCAAATCCAGTGGAGAAGCCTTGACTTAACCCTCTTGCTTGCACGTCTGAGACTCACGATGACCACAAGAACCACCATCTGCTAAGAGACGATGGGCAAGTGTCAGTTTCCACACGATGTGACACGTGTCAATTCTCTACTGGGTTATGGCTAAGATTACAAAATCTTCTTCGTAAACGGGATAAGCTCGAAGAGCCTCCTCTCTCTCCCATTCCCACTCCCTGTCAACCCAAAACCCAGACGAAAATCTGACAAAATGCGATTTTTTCACGGATTTTAGCCTTCACGATGAGAAAACATCCCCGGCTGTGAACNCCGGCTTCTTCATTTCGATTTTACACTCCTAAATTCTCTGCTCAAGGATCGTCTTTCATGGCGGCTATTTCTTCTTTATCTTTTACTGCATTGGGCCAAGCGTCGGAGAGGAAGCATGCGGTTTCTTCGATTCGATCGTTAGGTTCTACTTTTTATGGTTTTCGATTCCGAACCATTTCTGTTTCCGATTCACCTGGAGTTCGAACCCGGAATTCGACTTCTCGAATGGTTATTCAATGCATGTCATCTGCAACAGGTAAGTTAATGCTCCAATTTGTTTTTTAAATATTGTTTTCTTTCACCTCTGAAGTTCTTTTCCTGCCTAAAAGCCATTGCATTCTACTTCCTAATTTCTTCAGATTCTAGCAATCTGTTAGTTATCTTCGTGAATTACTGCATTGATTCTTCTTGGTTCACTTTCTTATTTGATTTTCCGTCATATAATTTCCTTTTCTTCTAATTAGAGTTCTGATATACTTGAGCCTATCTTAGAATGAGTTTTCCTCTAAATCTGAAGGGAACAAAAAAAATTGTAAAAGATAAGTATGAAGTGTTGTTGCCTGACTCATACCACAAGACTCATACGTGTAGATATTGTGATTCTTACAACTCTCATAGTGAGCCAGAGCATTAGACATTGAAAATCTCTAATTTCTCTTTGCGTTTATTTGCACTCATCGAAACGGTGTTCTTTATTCCATTTTGCTTCTCTATAGTAGAACCGCGGTTTTTACTTATCAATTGAACTTTTTAAATTGAAGTTATTCTTTCTTTTTCTTTTTTTTATTTCTTTGGAGATAAAAATACTTTTTAGGTTAAGAGTAAAACAAATTTATGGAAGTCTCAAGTATCTGGCTACTTACTTTGCTCACTATTGTGGTAACAGATGTGCCCACAGTATCTGAGACAAAATTAAGCTTTCTCAAGGCATACAAGAGGCCTATCCCTACCGTATACAACACCGTGCTGCAAGAGCTGATTGTCCAACAGCATCTGATGAGATATAAGAGGACATACCGATATGACGCTGTCTTTGCTCTTGGTTTTGTGACTGTGTATGATCAGCTCATGGAAGGGTACCCAAATGATGAGGATCGAGATGCCATCTTCCAAGCCTATATCAAAGCATTGAAGGAGGATCCTGAACAATACAGGTCTGTCTAATACTTGTTACCTCTCTTTTTTTTTTCTTTTTTTTTATCTTGGTTAACCTAATTTGCTCTGAGAGCTGTTAGTTCCTTGAGGTAGTTGTTATTAGAAGTGGAAAGCCATGAATTGTACCTGCTCACCCACCTAAAATGCCAACAACCAAATTCATTATCCAAATTGATGAACATGTCTATATAAGATATTACATGTGCATTCTGAAACTCCCTTCTTTGAGGATTAGTAGATTAAAACATTAGACCTCATGGACAACTAAAATACACGTATGTGGGGTCTTCCAGACATGTTAGCTCAAATAAAAGGCATACACAATATAACTTTACTTGGTGCATGTTGAGGTGTCTGAAAGGACAAGAGGAAGAACAAGAACATAAGCTTAAGGTGGTGAAATAGAAAAAGATGTTCTCATTCTTTAAGAAAAGATATGGCATTACACTGGACTAGGAAAGCGATTTTGTATTAGCAAAGATGCAGATGATGATGATTTTGATGTGTGATTGTTTGACCTTTTGGGTCTTGAACCTTGAAAGTTGCTGATCCATTGAAATTGAAAGGTGACACTTAATGAATATAAACTATAAATAGTTTACACTTGAAAGTATTTGTTTCATTTTAGCAAATTTTGTGGTTTCCAAGAAAATAGTAAGGAAAATAAGGATCTGAAAATTACATGACTAGAAGTTATAATATTATAGGTGGAAATGCTCAAAAATGTTTTATCATCTTTGTAAGTAAAAAACATGTTTGTTTCATTTACTAAAATCTTTTATAAAGGGAAGAATAGGGAGTAACTAGAAAAGAAAGGATGAAAATTAAATAGTATGGAAATACAAGATAAAAAATGCAATATAAAAAAAAAGCAAGCTCACTTTTGATATTCTTTTCTTTTAAGGGATTTGTCCTTTCATTCACAGGCAACATCACTACGTTGAATGAGGTAATCAACTCCTTACTTTGAAGATAAAACCCTTCCTCTCATTTTTCTAATTTATTTTAATCAGAAAGGTAAAATAGGAAATATTTAATCTCCCTTGAAACATCATTATGAAAATGGAAAAGACAAGAAAAGGAAAAGAGATCCACACTTACAGATCTCTAGGTTTAATTTGTACTTGTAGATACCCATCCGGTGTAAAACTTCTTCCTTGTATGGATGGTTTTGTTAGCTGTTTGATCATTCTAGTGTCTGCCCCAATAACCCTCCCCCCGGCCTCTCCCTGTATCATCTTTCTCTTTTTTCGGCAGTGATTGGCTTGGCTGTTGTCTTTCCTCAATCAGTAAGGCAACACCATAAACATTGTCACAATACTTCTAGTAAATGCAATATTTGATAAGCACAATGCTGAAATGGTGTTTAGAGTATCCTATTTCTGTTATTTAAAATTTCTGCAGCAATTAGGATGTGACAACTCATTAAGTGTTCTGGCGATTTACTTTTCAATACACCACTTCAGTGAGGCAATTGCTGCAACAGCCTCCAAATTCTCAAAACATAAAAAAAGTGTTTCCTCCAACGCCCCCAGTATAAAATTTTAGGTGTTGCATTGTGTTGCTGTTTGAGACAAAACAAGCATTAGCAAACACATTTTTTGTCTGTTTCCTCTGGCAGGCCGATGTGACAAACTCATTGCAATGGTTATAAAATAGGTCATTCCAAACACCACCTTTCTTTTCTTTTCTTTTTCTTTTTTTTCTTTTGTTTTTTTTTTTTGGGGGTTTCTGACCATTTGAGACTAAATTAAATGGTCACAATTACTTGCTGGGGCTTGACTATATCCATACTTTGCAGTTTCAAGTGATGTGAAGTCTGAGAACTTCTGAGTTCTGTATAACTTGAATTTACTGATCTTTTATGATACAGATCTGATGCCCAAAAGTTGGAAGACTGGGCCCGGACTCAAAATGCCAATTCATTAATTGAATTTCCTTATAGAGAGGGAGAAGTTGAAGGGATTTTGAAAGATATTTCAGAACAGGCTAGGGGTAATGGGAGTTTCAGCTATAGTCGTTTCTTTGCTATTGGGCTATTTCGTCTTCTGGAATTGGCAAAAGCAACAGAGCCATCTATCTTAGAACAGGTTGGGCCTCTTGCCACCTATTCTCTGTAATGGTTGAGTTATATTTGCCAATATCATTATAAATCTGCTTTTAGATTAATTTTCTTATAAGTTTATGTTGTTAAGTAGGCTTATATCAGAATGCATGAGTACAGAGTAGTCAATCATGAAAAACTAGTCAATTCTTTGGAAAGTGCAAAAGAATCCCTACAAATCCCTTTGAATACAATGTGGCCCATAGCTGATTTTATTATGCCAAGAACAAGACGTTAGAAGAGACCACTGAGAGCCTGATTTCTGTTATGATACAGAAGGTTTTCTAAAAATCCTTTGTGCCAGTTTTGAGGACAGATACTACAATCATTCCATCTCCAAGTTATAACCTAGTTTTTTAGCTAATATGGGTGAAGGAAGAAGATACAGATCTCTACGCCCCCTCCCCCACCCTTCTGGGGACATTAACAAACCCTTATCTCACATGAGGAAAAAATCAGCACTCTTTTTCTCTAAACCATGTAATATGTTTCAAAAGAGTTTTGCCAAAATAGAGATTATTAAATCCACTCTTGTGGTGGGCATAGGGTCCCAGCCACTACTTGTGGCAGTCAGGGAAATTTATTCCATTGGGTGTTCCTAACCATTAAATATTTGTTTTTTCTTCGATTTTCAATGTCATGTATGTATTCACTATCCCAGTGAATGCATGGGATCAAATTGTAAGGATTACATAGGTAATTCTAATAAAGAATATCTTGGTGGAATCTATCAAACAGCAGGCCACCCACCCTCTTTGCATGAGCTCCCCCATGTATGTGAATCCACGTTCTGCTATATTTCCCAAGTATTTATCCTTTTGAGAGAGAAGAGCAGATCATAGTTGGGTGATCTAGCGAACAGGTCTAAATGACCTAGGCTTTTCCACATGAAAAGATGGTTGAGCACCCTAAAAAGGTCTGTACTTCTCTTGACACTAGAGGTCTAGAGGTGCTCACGGTCTGGTTGGGCTTTTTTGAAACCAAACCAGTTCTTCAGTTTCTGTAAAATCCTGAACTGAAACCAATTGATTTGTCATAATTTTTTCAGATGTCTTTCCGGTATCATAGTCAAACCCATAAATATATATACCAGTTGGTTCGATTAACTACTGGTTTTTCTTTTAGGTTAACTGAAGCTGAATCAGTACCACTAGTTTTTGAAAATTACTGAACCAAAACCGAACCGATCGCTTTGGTTAACTGGATTTTTCGATTCAGTTCAGTTTTTTGGTTTTTGTTGAGCACCCCCCTACTAGCCACTTTCTTTTTGTTAAATCCCCTACTTGTCCCTATCTGTTCATGAGCTTTCATCCCCAAAGCCCTTGCAGCATGTCCAACATAAAAGCCCTTTCTGTGGACAATTTCTAAATTAAAATGGTGGTACTGTGGAAGTCCAGAGTCACTTGGAGTGAAATGCTAATGCATGGATGGTATGGGGCTGGCATGGAATGGAGGATTTAACAGTCATAAGGCCATTACAGAGGACCCCCTACTCAGTGAATGGTTTCTATCTGCATATCATCTCTCCACATGGCAGAAATAGTATAGGTTAAGCAGGGAAATATGCTTTTTTTTTCATCTAGGTTTCTGAATGATGACTTTATGCTGCTTTTTTGTTGTTCAACAGTTTTGTGCAGCCTTAAACATAAACAAAAGAAGTGTAGATCGAGACCTTGATGTGTATCGCAACCTGCTTTCTAAGTTGGTTCAAGCAAAGGAACTCCTAAAGGAGTATGTAGATAGGTAATCCTTATTCCTCAATCATCTCTTCTGCACAGCATGATGCTATGGTTTCTTAGTATTACTTAAACCATTCATGTTTAGATATAATAATTTAATAAAGAGTACCTTGAAGAGGGGCTGTTACTTTGTGTAATGATAAAATCTCAGGCTGGCAAAAATGCAACACAGGTTTAGTCTGAGAGTGGTCACTTCATGCAGAATAATGCCAAAGTTAGGACCGTATTCAGTCTACCCCATCCCAAGATCCCAGATAGCTGGGACCAACATTGGGTAATGACCTTTTTTAGAGAGTACCTTAAAGGAGGATATGTATTAAACCACTAATCTTCTATTAAAGTCCAAACCATGTACCATGGGGTGGGACTCTATAAAACAACAAAGCCTTAAATAGAAAAATTCCCCTGAACTGAACCTCCTAAGGAGAATTCAAGTTCCTACACCATTAATACTCAAAAGGATGAAGTGTACCCCTGTTGCAACAGTATCTGTTATTTCTAGACAATAACAGAACAATCTGTCTTATATATTTAGAACCTTTACTCTTAAACTCAATGGTTTTACTTCTATTGAACAATGATTAAGCATTGGGTGTACCTTACTGGTCAATCCATTGTGCATAAATTGTAGGACTCTCATGTTTCCAGATAATAACAGATAATTTATGCAATGTTTTTTGGCTGCCAGAGAAAAGAAGAAAAGAGAAGAAAGGATGGGGTCTCAGAAGGCTAATGAGGCCATTTCAAAATGCGTGGGAGAATTCCTATGTTCAGGTCAATAGTACAAACCTACTGTTCCAAGTATTCTGAAACTTAACTCCGTGTTTCTCTTATGGCTTTTGGATCAAGAGCATAATATCTGAGTTACCCACCAAAATACAAGTTTGTAATTCTTGTATTATTTTGAAATATGGAGTATGATGACCCAAATACATCCTTTGTATTCACCTATCACCTTGGCTTTTCCCTCTTTCTTCTTCATCTTTCTGATTTTCTTTCAAAATGTATTCCACTTGTGTTTATTTAGTACAACATACAAATGTTGGATCAGCATTCTCCACAATAAGCCAATTTTCAATATAAGAGCTACTAAGTGCACCATAAGCAAGGTTCACAATATTAGATGAAAAAGCGTTTCACAAGGTAATTTCAAAATTACTGGGATATAGGGGTGTTCAAATTCGGTTGATAAACCAAAAACCGAACCGAACCAAACCGAATAAGTTAATTTGGTTTGGTTAATTCGGCTATCGGTTCGTTTCGGTTTTTATTTTCTAAAAAAATCAGTTTTCGGTTTCGGTTCGGTTTGACTGAAATTTTCAACCGAACCGAACCAAAAACCATGTTGATGTTGTTACTTAGTTAAAATACTAAACATTAAAGTTTTATTTAATACTTTATGTTAATTAATTATTATATTTCTCAATGAATAATTAATAATAGTTAATTAAAGGGAAATTGTCTAAAACTCATCATGAGTTTTCAGCATTTCTTTTAAACTCACCACAACTTTTCAAAATGTCTAAAATTCACCATGTCACTAACTTGACGTTAAACAAACTAACGGGTGTTAATATATTACCATTTTAACCTTCATAAAAAAATATAAATTATATACAAAATAAATTAAAAATTGTTAATATATTACCATTTTAATATTTAGACATGAAAAAAAGGAAAAAGTTCAAAAAACATTTTCAAATATAAAATACATAAAAACATAGAAATTACAAAAAATATAAAAAAAAATTAGAAATTGCAAACAAAATAAAAATTATTTTCAAATTATAGAAACTATAGAAATTGAAAAAAAAAATCAGAAAATAAAAATTGTAGAAAAAACACCAAAAAATATAGGAAAACACAAAAATTACAAAAAATACAAGAAAAATTATAGATTGTAGAAAATAGAACATGTAAAAAAAACAGAAATTATAACAAAACATTAAAAATGCAAAAAAAAACAAGAAAATTGAAAACTGAAAAAGACCACTTTTCCTCTAACTCGCCACTCAAGGGTAATTTGATCATGAAAATTGTCATTTATGCTGACATGGACACCTCTATTAAGAAGCATTAACGGTGCACTAACGGAATGTGAGTTTTGGAAAATAAAAACTTACTGACATGGTGAACTGTAGACATTTTGAAAATTTGTGGTGAGTTTAAGAGAAATGTTCAAAACTCGTGGTGAGTTTTAGACAATTTCCCTTAATTAAAACCTAGTCCCATTATTAATTTTTTGTTAAGTCATTAATTGTTCATATTTTTTATGAATATCATTAATTGTTCATTAATCATTAATTATTTTTTAAAATGGCCTATTCGCCAATTCCCCATTGACATAGGGTTGTGGGTCTATTTTAGCTTTTAATTAATAATAGCTAATTAATTAAAACCATTGGGCTTCGGGATCATTTTAACTTTTAATTAGTAATAGTTAATAGTTAATTAATTAAAACCATTGGGTTTTGGGGCCATTTTAACTTTTCATTAATAATACTTATTAAATGCTTGTCATTTATGTGGAACCAGGGTCCAACCGAACCAAATTCGGTTAGGGTCAATTTGGTTCTAAAATATAATTCGGTTCGGTTCAATTAGAAGAAATGATAAAACCGAATAGTCAATTAGGTCCTCAGTTTGAACTGAACTGAACCGACCGATTGTACACCCCTACTGGGATATGCAGGGGAAATATTCCTCAAAATGATGGAAGAATTAAGATATTTATGAAAATTCACATAAATCTCATAAACACAATAATAATATTAATTCTAATGCTCAAATAATTGTAAATGAGGTATGAAAACATGAGAAAAACATACTTTTATAGCTCATGCAGTCAGGCATAGAAATAAGTCTATCAGGTGTAAAGACATCACATGATGACTTTATCAATGATATGCTTTAATCAATTTTTTGTTCTACTAGAAGTTTTCTTTATATGGATTAATTTCAATGGATAAATAAGTGTGTACATAAGTGCAACAAAGATTTAAATATTTACATGCTAAGTGCAGGTATTAAATAATTATTGGTATAAATATTATATATCTTATTTATTTTTCATTGTAAATTGCTGAAATTAATTTTAATGTGAAAATTTCCTTAAATATAACTAACTATATATACAATTGTTGACGTATCTTATCATAAAATTTATGTATAATTTATTTTTTACTATAAATTGCTCAAAATTAAGAAAAAAAATCCAAAATTGCCTTGTATCTGTGGGGATGTTAGAAAATCCATAAGATGCATATGATATATAAATATAGAACAAATGCAGCTATTAAACAAATTATTTCGTTATTTAGTTTTTTTTTTTTTACTGTAAAATTTTCAAAACTGAAAAGCTAAAATCAAATTTTAAATAAAATGTATTGATGGGTATACAGATCTCATATATTATCCCTACATCCATCATATTATCACCAATCTCATCACAAGGACTAAGAAATTAAACACAACAGAAAAATGAAATTTCAATTTTTCCCAAAAGATTTCAGGAAACCCCATACAACCTTTTAATACAAGTAAAAATGGCTTAGGTTTAACATAAAATTAGTAAATATATGAAGTACAAAGTTTATTACAAGTAAACCAAGTCATTTTTATAAGATCAAATAAAAAATGCAAAATATGAAAAGAACGTATCTTTGAAGAGTTTTGATGCGCATTGAATTGTTGATTACATATTGGCAGATTCACGCCAATCCTACATATAGGATATGGTAATCTGGTGGATACATATTGATACTCTACTTATTTATTGTGCGTCTGTAGCCCTAACCTCAAAAACACATGCATGTATGCCCGTATTGCCTGATACATGTCATACTTTAAACCTTACCAAGTTCTATAGCACTTCTGTTCCTTGAGTATAGCCATCAAGGAAAAAACAGCATAGGCTGTTGAGAGTTGAGACAGTTTCTGGGAATGCCACGTTACCATGAGAATGGGTAAATTAGTAATTATATATTAATTTATTTTTATTAAAAAATAAAAATCAAAGCATGGGCATGAATAGGTCAACTGCCCAGAATGTTCCCAGCCCAAAAACTGTCTCAACAGTCTATGCTGTTGGGCCCAACAGCTAAAGTTAACCCCATCAAGGCATCAACCAGTGAATGGTGGGCCTTGACCCCTGCATGGCAGATGATATCCTTAACACACTACGCATGAAGACAATAATTACCCATTTACATGAGTCCGATACTACAGACGCTCACGTCTACAAGGCAAGAAGGTTTTTACTCAAAGCAAGTTACACTTGCGTAAATCCCATTATATTAGGTGGCGTTTGACAACACCTTTCAGATGTTTGAAATCTGAAATATCTGCTTTTTAAATGCAATGTTTATTTGGTGTTGCATCTGAAATATAATCTGAATCTTAAATTTTAAGATTCAAGCTTGTCACTTAACGTGTTCAGACGCGTTTCAAGCATGGTCTAAAGTCAAAAATACCCCTACCTCATTCGATGTCTCTCTCTCCCCTGTCTTCCCGCCACCACCGCTACAACTTGTAGTGACGATGGTTCTCTCTCTCTCTCTCTCTCTCTCGTCTTCCTACCGGCTGCAACTTGCGGCGGTGGCGGTTCTCTCTCAAGAGGGTGAGTATTAATAATAATTATTATTATTAATTATTAATTGTTGTGAGGATTATTTAATTGTTATTTTATAGTTGTTGTTAGTGGGTTGTCCTCTTAAGATGCTATCAGTTAGTTATTTTCTTTCTTTCTTATTAGTTTGTTTATAGGGAGTGCCGCCAAGGGCATACTTGTAATTTCCATTCTTTTTTATATTAAGTTAATATAAATAATGAATGGCGGCAGCCAGAAGTAGGTTTTTCTTTTTCTCTCAATCGTATCTTCCTCTTCTTCTCTTTCTCTCTCTCTCTCCATGAATGATTACATGGTATCAGAGCAAGGTTTTGGGCTATAAAAGAATTTCGGTCTCTCCTATTTGAACCTGCTTCGTCCTCTTTTTTCCTTCTTTGATTTCTTGGACGTGGAAGACAGAGAAACCCTAGCAAACTACTTGCGGCTCTTCCTTTGGGTTCTTCCTTGGTCGTAATATCAAGGAAACCCTAGTCGAAGAAGGGCGATGCAGAAAGAGACTCCCCTTCTTTTCTGTTCGATGCTGTGAAGTCAGTTTCTGGTTGGCACCTTCGTACAGGTGCTAGACAGGGTATGTGTTCTTGTTCTTTTGTTTTTGGCCAATGGTGTGAAGGCCTTATTCCTTGGTTCTATACATTCGTTTAGATGCTGGATTGTTAGACTGTATGGGTTGTAGTCGAACTGATAGTATACTATTCTAACATCTACCTTGGCTAGTGTTGGACTGTTTACCGGGCTGGTTTAACGATTGAACCACCACAGAGTTGATTTCAGCAAGTTTTTGTTGTCTTTTCCACACCCCATAAGTAAATTTCTTGAGGGTTGGTATTCTGTTTGTGGTTGTTGTGTAGTTGTGTGGGATTTGGACTGATTTCAGTAGTAATCTATGGCAAACTATGATTCAACCTCATCGGGGGTTACACCGACCCGCAGCACAGCTGGGATGGGAGGTGAAAACATGATGTTTCCCATGCCCATTACCCCTCTAAACGGTCTAAACTACTTGGAGTGGGCTAAAAGTGTAAAACTTTATGTAACGGCAAGGGGAAAAGCTGGTTACATAAGTGGAAGGGTGAAAGAACCCAAGAATGAGACAGCTGAACATGATAGGTGGGATCAAGAAAACAGTATGATGATGTCTTGGCTCCTTGCAGCCATGGAACTTGATGTGAAAAACTTTATGTGGGCAGACACCGCTAGTGAGATCTGGGAACAGGCCAAAACTACCTATTCTGAGCAAAGGCATTATGCCAAGGTTTACCAGTTGCAAGCTGAATCCTCAACTTGTAAACAGGGAAAACGTAGTTTGTCCTCCTAATATTCAGCCCTTATTTCCATATGGAAAGAATTTGATCATTATCAGGTTATAAAGTGGAAACATGATGACGATGCTAAGGCCTACAGGAAGCCGATTTCTCAGCAACGTGTGTTTGCCT